TCCCTGTAGACATCAGACAGGCGCCCTCCCTTATGACATTCCGCAAAAGACTAAAGACATGGTTATTTGAGAGGGCGTTCGACTAAGTGCTACAACAATTGGCAATGATGACTGGAACGGAATATGGATAACGAGATTGGTTATGATTCTACGATGAGATGGCGCGGATGATTTAGTGTAATTGTATTATTGATTGTTATGTTGATATTATTGTTGTGATATTCCCTTATTGTAAACTGTTTTTATATGTTTTACACCGCCGTGAGTCGCCCTAGGGCTGAGAACGGCGGTCAACAAATGCAGTAAATAAATAAATAAATAAATAAATAAATATTGTGTTTATATTTTGGATGCTCTGCTATATATTTTAAGGTAGATTTCCATATGTGTGTGCGTGTAATTTTTAGATAACATATGAAAGGATTAACACAGATGTTAGCAGAGGGGCAAAGACTGGACAAAAAGAGCTTGTCCCAACCCCACCCCCTATTGTTAAAAAGGCAGGATATACATTCAATCAATCCACTTATTGTGAAGGAGGCATAAGCATAAGAAGAATATTAAGTTGCTAAACTGCTCAGCTTACATAGGAAATTGGTTTGCGGTTAGGCGCGACACCAAAGTCTGCGAGTAAAGAACAAATTGTGGTTTTGACAGCCTAACACGAGAACAACAGGAAGCCAGGTAAAGTGCACAAACCTATGTTCTGATCTATTGAACTATTGATAGGAGGGAGACTAAGAGGAGCAAAAATGAAGACACCTGGTCACTTTCCATGAAAAAAATACTCTTGTTTACCTCACTGTATAAAAAGCTTTGCTTTTGTCAAGGAGGGGCAGCAGTCCTTATAAAGTGTGGCACCTACACAACTGTCTGACTCCTTCATGATCATGAAAGAATAAAACTTTGCTTTTGATCTTCCTCCTGGGACTGCCTCTTTCCTTGCGCCTCCCGTGGCCTGGACCTTAGTATTAAGGTATTTAAGGAGCTCTACTGGCTGTCATTTATTTTCCGGTCCCAATTCAAGGTACAGGTCATCACCTACAAAGCCCTAAATGGTTTGGGACCCGCCTACCTTTGTGACCGTATCTCTCTCGACGTACCAATCTGGGCCCTTAAATCTTCGGAGGAGGCCCTCCTTTCACCCCTACCAATCTCACAAGCTCGTCTTGTGGGCACAAGGGAGAGAATCTTCTCCTCTGTGGCACCCTGACTTTGGAACTCCTTACCTGGAGAGATCAGGAAAGCCCCTTCTCTAGTAACATTAAAAAAGAACCTTAAAACCTGACTCTTCCGCTGCGCCTTTGGTGAGTAGGTGCACAATATGACACCATTGCACCCCTCAACGCTCTTCCCACTGGAACACACACTCTCCAAATGGGAAGTTTAGCTTCACAACTATATATGTTTTTACTAGCTCTCTGCAGATAACTTGCTCCTATTTTTATCTCATTAGAGTTTTAGAATTGTTTTTATCCTGTACATGTGGCCCGTCCACTGTTATTGTGATTGTGCTTATTGGAATGTTATTTTATGACTGTGTTTATAAATTTTTATGTTTTTATTGTATTGTTGAAGGCTTTCATGGCCGGAATCACTGGTTGTTGTAGGTTTTTCCGGGCTATATGGCCATGTTCTGGAGGCAATTTTTCTCCTGACGTTTCGCCTGCATCTATGGCAAGCATCCTCAGAGGTAGTGAGGTCTGCTGGAAGTAGGAAAAATGGGTTTATATATCTGTGGAATGACCAGGGTGAGACAAAGGACTTTTGTCTGCTGGAGCTAGGTGTGAATGTTTCAGCTGACCACCTTGATTAGCATTTAATGGCTTGGAAGTGCCTGGGGGGAATCTTTTGTTGAGAGTGTTTTCCAAGGCATTAAATGCTAATCAAGGTGGTCAGTTGAAACATTCACACCTAGCTCCAGCAGACAAGAGTCCTTTGCCCCACCCTGGTCATTCCACAGATATATAAACACATTTTCCTACCTCTAACAGACCTCACTACCTCTGAGGATGCTTGCCATAGATGCAGGCGAAACGTCAGGAGAAAAAATGCCTCTAGAACATGGCCATATAGCCTGGAAAAACCTACAACAACCAAGTTGTTTATTGTTTATACTCTGGTTTTATTTTGTTGTGTTATATTGTCCGGGCTTGGCCCCATGTAAGCCACTCTGAGTCCCCATTGGGGAGATGGTGGCGGGGTATAAATAAAGATGGATGATGATGATGATGATGATGATTATAAGACCCAAATTAGGGTCTCTAACAATTGATCTCCACTTTAGAGATACCAAGAGGCAATGCTCTCACCTGTCCTTCCCGCTTCTCGTCCTCTTCCCGACTCAGGAGGAAGCCTTCCGCCAGGGCCACCGCCTGGGAAGAGGTCTCTGCCCCACACTCTCGGACCCAGCTCCCCATCTCTGGGGGCAGGATGCTCAGGAACTGCTCCAGGATCACCAGGTCCAGCATCTCCGCCTTGGTGTGTTGCTCTGGCTTCAGCCACTGGCGGCAGAGAGAGTGGAGGCGGCTGCAAACCTCTCTGGGTCCCTTGCCCTCTCGGAAGGAGAACTGCCTGAAGTCCTGAAGCTCTGTGCGTGAGTTAGCTACGCCCTTATCCCGGAACCTTTGCGCCACTCTTTCCCAGACTCTTCCATTGCTCCCAGGACTTTGGCCATCCATATTTCCTCTTGCTTTGGGCCTGTCCATCTTTCAACTGATGCCCAAGGAAGCCACCAATGAGGCCCTCTCAGGGCCAAGGCTCCCTCACCAGGCTCTGCTCCACAACTCTGGTATGATCAATTGTGACACTCTATGGCAGGCCTGGGCCAACTTGGGCCTTCCTCCAGGTGTTTTGGACTAAAAACCTTAGGTGCTTCCTCTTCCCGTCATGTGACTCGCCTTCCCTCCAATCAGAGCCCTGAGAGACTGTTTATGGGGAGGAGACCCCGCCTAGACTCTCCAAACTCTAATCCTGGAGTTTTGGACTTCAACTCCCAGAAGCCTCAGCTACCCAAGCCAATTACAAGGCACGCTGGGAGATGAAGTCCCAAAGAAAACCTGCATCTTGGCGCCCAAGAGCTCCGCCCCCTAGCAACCAAATACCCGGATGAGCTTGCGTTCGAATACCGTCACGTGATGGGACTGAAGCCCAATCAGAGGGCGAGGAAGGCGGTGTTCAGTCTAAAGAGGTCCCATCGGAAACAACAACCGCGCGAACAGGTTCCGTCCAGAAACTGGAAAAGGCTTTATTAGGAAAGAAGAGTCCCAAAGGTGAGAGATGCAGGAAAGGAGGCCCCAGGCCTGCTCTAATGGTTTATATATTATATATTTGAATATACGCATCATATGGCAAAATGTTTATTATCTGGGTGTTTCAACTGTGTTGCATTCTGTTACCCGGGTAAGAAATGCCCTACAATCCAGATTATCAAATCAGATAATCCAGATTATCAAATCAGATAATCCAGATTATTATTGGAACTGGATTACACGAGGCCCCTTCTACATTGCCATATAAAAATTCAGATTATCTGCTTTGAACTGGATTATATGGTAGGTAGACTCAGATAATTCAGTTCAAGAGCAGATAATGTGGATGATCTGTTTAGGTAATTGGGATTATATGTCACTGTAAAAGGATTATATGGCAGGGTAGACAGTGACATATAATCTGGATTATATGTCACTGTAGAAGGATTATATGGCAGGGTAGACAGTGACATATAATCTGGATTATATGTCACTGTAGAAGGATTATATGGCAGGGTAGGCAGTGACATATAATCTGGATTATATGTCACTGTAGAAGGATTATATGGCAGGGTAGGCAGTGACATATAATCTGGATTATATGTCACTGTAGAAGGATTATATGGCAGGGTAGACAGTGACATATAATCTGGATTATATGTCACTGTAGAAGGATTATATGGCAGGGTAGGCAGTGACATATAATCTGGATTATATGTCACTGTAGAAGGATTATATGGCAGGGTAGACAGTGACATATAATCTGGATTATATGTCACTGTAGAAGGATTATATGGCAGGGTAGGCAGTGACATATAATCTGGATTATATGTCACTGTAGAAGGATTATATGGCAGGGTAGGCAGTGACATATAATCTGGATTATATGTCACTGTAGAAGGATTATATGGCAGGGTAGACAGTGACTAAACGGTTCCGGCCCAAGATACCTAACTGACCGCCTCTCGGCCTATGAGCCCACGAGGACTTTGAGATCTTCCGGGGAGGCCCTGCTCTCGATCCCGCCTGCGTCACAGGCACGGCTGGCGGGGACGAGAGATAGGGCCTTCTCGGTGGTGGCTCCTCGGCTGTGGAACACCCTTCCCATAGACATCAGGCTAGCCCCCTCCCTGTTGATATTCCGCAGGAAGCTAAAGACCTGGTTGTTTAAGAAGGCTTTTGAATAGAAGTGCAATGACTGGTAACCTGACCATAGGAATGGAATAACGGAATGGTATCGGATTGTGAACTTGACGATGAGACGACTCGGAATGGTATTGTAGTAAGGTTGATGTTTTGATGAGATGTTTTGATAATTATGTATTGTGGATTATTTTATTTGATGTTGTACCTTGCACCTGTTTTTCTATGTTGTACACCGCAATGAGTCGCCAGTAGGCTGAGAATTGCGGTATATAAGCGTAGTAAATAAATAAATAAATAATAATAATAATAATGTCACTGTAGAAGGATTATATGGATTATATGCCAGGGTAGACAGTGACATATAATCTGGATTATATGTCACTGTAGAAGGATTATATGGATTATTTGGCAGGGTAGACAGTGACATATCATCTGGATTATATGTCATTGTAGAAGGATTATATGGCAGGCTAAACTCATATAACCCAGTTCAAAGCACAGAATATGGATGATCTGCTTTGGTAATCTGGCGTGGGGGTGCAGCCGGTTAAACCACTGAGCTGCTGAACTTGCTGGCCGAAAGGTTGGCAGTTTGAATCCATGAAGTGGGGTGAACTCCTGCTGTTAGGCCCAGCTTCTGCCAACCTAGCAGTTTGAAAACTTGCAAATGTGAGTAGATCAATAGATACCACTTCTGCGGGAAGGTAACGGCGCTTAATGTAGTCATGCTGGCCACATGCAAGTGTGAGTAGATCAATAGGTATCACTCCGGAAGGAAGGTAATGGCGCTCCATGCAGTCATGCAGGCCACATGACCTTGGCGGTGTCTAAGGACAATGCCGGCTCTTCGGCTTAGAAATGGACATGAGCATCAACCCCCAGAGTTGGACATGACTAGACTTGATGTCAGGGGAAACTTTTACCCTGTAATCTGAATTATATGGCTGTGTAGAAGGATAAAATCCAGATTATATGCTTTGAAGGGGATTACATGCCAGGGTAGACTAATATATTCTAGTTCAAAGCAGATAATGTGGATGATCTGCATTGGTAATCTGGATTATATGCTTTGGTTATCTGGATTACACTGCCATATTATCCATTTCAAAGCAGATAATCTGGATTTTATTTGGCATTGAAGAAGGGGCCTCCCAACAGCTCCAATGAACACTCAGTGTTTTTTATTTTTCTGCTTTGCCATTGGAATGATTGGATGTTACCGTCAGCTAAATGTTTTTAATGATTTTTGGAAGTTTTGTTTTAAGTGAAAGAAACTCAGTGGAGTAAGTGATTACAGTATTGTAATCAATGAACATTGAACACATACATACTTAACTTTTACATAAACTAAATAAGAAATAAATTTAACTGCTACCACCATCCTCCTGTAAGTGATTACAGTATTGTAATCACTTACAGGAGGATGGTGGTAGCAGTTAAATTTATTTATTGTTTAGTTTATGCAAAAGTCAAGTATGTATGTGTTCAGTGTTTGTTGGTTTGTACCACAAAAGTGCCTGCCTGGCTTAATAGATCCAGGCCACATTTGGCACACATCTCCTTCATTATCAACTTAGAATCATAGAGTTGGAAGAGACCTCATGGACCATCCAGTCCAGCCCCCTGCCAAGAAGCAGGAATATTGCATTCAAAGCACCCCTGACAGATGGCCATCCAGCCTCTGTTTAAAAGCTTCCAAAGAAGGAGCCTCCACCACACTCCGGGGCAGAGAGTTCCACTGCTGAACGGTTCTCACAGTCAGGAAGTTCTTCCTAATGTTCAGATGGAATCTCCTCTCTTGTAGTTTGAAGCCATTGTTCCGCGTCCTAGTCTCCAGGGAAGAAGAGAACAAGCTTGCTCCCTCCTCCCTATGACTTCCTCTCACGTATTTATACATGGCTATCATATCTCCTCTCAGCTTTCTCTTTTTCAGACTAAACATGCCCAGCTCCTTAAGCCGCTCTTCATAGGGCTTGTTCTCCAGACCCTTGATCATTTTAGATGCCCTCCTAAAACTTAATATAATTAAGTTTAAACTTTTTTAAAAAACCCACCCCTTCCGCGCTCAGAACAGAGGGAAAGAAAAGGAAAAAAGCGGATTGGTTGTGGCTAGGGAAAGTGCCACTCCATCACACAACTGGGAAAGGAAGGGGGTGAAGTGGATTGACTGCTGCGAGGAGACGTGTAGGAGAGAAAGGAAAGGGGATAAAAAAAAAAGGATGGAAGGAAAATTAGAAATAAAGAAGGAAAAGAAAGGAAGGAAGAGAAGGATGGAGGAAGACAGCAAAAGGTAAGGGAGGAATGAAGACAAAGAAGGGGAGGGAAGGTGTATGAGGGAAATGGAGGGAGAAAAGAAAGGTCCCAAAATACATACCCAAGCAAGGTGAGAGACAGGCCATTCAGAGGACAAAATCCAGCGTCTTCTCATTGTGAAAGGTTTTGGTTTGTTGGCCTCAGGTAAAGGATCTCCCACAGTTTAATCTGAATGCTTTCATTTTTCTGTTTTTGTTCCTAGAATTGCAGAATCCTAGAGTTGGAAGAGACCAGAAGGGCCATCCAATCCTGCCCTGAAGGAACACACAACAGATGGCCATCCAGTCTTTGCTTAAAAATCTTCAGAGAAGAACACTCCACCGGACTTGGAGGCAATATGGAATGGCTCTTTCTGTCAGGAAGTTTTTCCTAATGTTTAGGTGGAACCTGTTTTGCTCCAATTTGAATCCATTGCTTCACCGTGTCCTCGTCTCCAGAGCAGAGCTTTCCAAACATTGGTGTGTCAACTGCAGTATGTAGTTGTGACGTGCGAAGGTAAGGAGAGCCTCTCAGTCTATGTTAAATAAGCAATTATTAAGATACTAGCCGTCCCCTGCCCCGCGTTGCTGTGGCCCAATCTGTGTATACGTATTTTGTGTATGTATGTATGTATGTATGTATGTATGTATGTGTGTGTGTGTATATATATATATATATGTGTGTGTGTGTGTGTGTGTATACATATCTGTATATATGTGGTTTTGTGCATATGTTGTAATGTATATTTCTTTGGCTTTTTAAGTCTCTTCTGCTGTGTTTTTCAGTATTTTTATGAGTGATGGTCACTCGTTGGCCTGATAGGTGTTTTGTGTCCAAATTTGGTGTCAATTCATCCAGTGGTTTTTGAGTTATGTTAATCCCACAAACGAACATTACATTTTTATTTATATAAATTTTAATTTAAAAAAATATAAATGATGAAACATTTTCACGAAATATGTTGTGTCCCCATACATTTCATTATTACGGTTTATGTATGTGTCTGCATCATTTATAAAGGGTTGGTTTACCCTCCAGTTTGCTAGTAAAAGTGAATTGTAGTTCACCCACAACGTTATGGATTTGTACAATTAAAAATGGACTTTTTCAAATAACCCGGGCCACGCCAGGGACCCAAGTTAGTAGGGAATGCAAATGGGATGGCTGAGGGGAAATGGGGATGGGCAATAATTAGAATCATAGAGTTGGAAGAGACCTCATGGGCCATCCAGTCTAACCCCATTCTGCCAAGAAGCAGGAAAATTGCATTCAAAGCACCCCCGACAGATGGCCATCCAGCCTCTGTTTAAAAGCTTCCAAAGAAGGAGCCTCCACCACACTCTGGGGCAGAGAGTTCCACTGCTGAACGGCTCTCACAGTCAGGAAGTTCTTCCTCATGTTCAGATGGAATCTCCTTTCTTGTAGTTTGAAGCCATTGTTCTGCATCATAGTCTCCAGGGAAGCAGAAAACAAGTTCTCTCCCTCATGCCTATGACGTCTTCTCACATATTTATACATGTCTCCTCTCAGCCTTCTCTTCTTCAGGCTAAACATGCCCAGCTCTTTAAGCCTCTCCTCATAGGGCTTGTTCTCTAGATCCTTGATCATTTCAGTCGCCCTCCTCTGGACACATTCCAGCTTCTCAAATATCTGGAGGCAGATAATTGAGAATCAGAATAAAACTGCATATTCTGATTCTCCAGTAAAAAGAAAAAAATGTTTGTGGCTCTCAGGTGAATGAACTTTCCCATATCTTTATTCTGCATCTGATTATTTGCTTGCCTTTCCTACAGGGAGAGACAAAGATCCTATCTGGATCCACCTTTTGTCTTGCCAAGAAGAAGAATTCAAAGTGCATATCAAAAATGGACGGAACAGACTCTGCTGGCCCCGGTGGAGAAACGGGCCTGAATGCTATCAAATGTGAAGGAACTGGGGAATTCTGGGAAAGGACAGTGCCAAAGTTCCCAGCTGAGGACGTGGCCAGCTTAGATCTCTATCGCCAGCACTTCAGGCAGTTCTCTTACCAGGAGTCCCAGAGCCCCCAAGAAGCTTGCAGCCAACTTCACAGTCTCTGCCGCCAGTGGCTGAAGCCGGAGCACCATACCAAAAGCCAGATCTTGGACCTGGTGGTCTTGGAACAATTCCTGAGCATCCTGCCCTCCGAGATGGGTTCCTGGGTGAGGGAATGTGGGGCGGAGAGCAGTTCCCAGGCGGTGGGCCTGGCAGAATATTTTCTCCTGAGTCAGACTGAGGACAAGAAGCCAGAGGACCAAGAGATGTTGCTTCATCCCAGTGTCTGTAAGACAGAGGTGAGCAGGATTTGACCCCATGTGCCACTTTTTTCCTGCTTTTCCTCACAGCCAGTAGCCAGGGTCTTGCTCTATGGCTGAACCTGTACTAAATTCAGCAGTGCCAAATGGCTATTGCGCAAATGTTGACGTTGATGGTTTCACCAGGAAAACCACTCCACCCCACCCTGGGGGCTGAATATGGCTCCTTGGGCACTTTTCTCAGACTCTTCTCTTCACTCAGTATTCTACCCTTCCTTCCTTCCTTCTGTCTTTCTTTCCTCCTTCCCTCCCTCTTTCTCCTTCCCTCCGCTCCCCCCCTTCCATCCAACCTTCCATCTCTCTTTCCTTCCTCCTTTCCTTCCTTCCCTTTCCACCCTTCCATCCTTCCCTACCTTTTGTCTTTCCTTCCTTCTCTCTTTCCTTCCTCCTTCCCTCCCTACCTCTTTCTCCTTCATCCTTCTTCCTTCTCCCTCTTTCCTCCCTCACTCCCTCTTTCTCCGTCATTCCTTCCCTTTTGTCTGTCTTTCTCTCTTTCCTTTATCCTTCCCTTCCTTCCTTCTATCCTTCTCTTCATCCCTTTCTTCCTTCTCTTTTTCCTTCCTCCTTCCCTTCCTTCCTTCCATCCTTTCCTTCCACCCTTTCATCCTTCCGTCCTTCTTTCTTCCTCTCTCCCTCTTTCTCTTTCCTTCCATCCTTCTTCCTTTCTTCTTTCCTTGCTTCTCTCTTCTTTTCCTTCTTCTTTCCATTCTTCTCTTCCTTCCTTTAGTTTTTCCTTCCTTTTCCTTCCTCCCTTCCTTTTCCCTTCCACTCTTTTGTCCTTTCCCTCTTTTCTCCCCCTCTCCCTCTTTTTGTTTTCTTCCTTTCTGTCTTTCCTTCTTTCTGTCTTTCAAAACCCTTCCTTCAATCCTTCTCTTCATCCCTCCCTCCCTTCCTTCCCTTCCTTCCATCCTTCCCTTCCACCCTTTCGCCCTTCCTTCCCTCTTTGTCTTTCCTTCCTTCTCTCTTTCCGTTATCCCTTCCTTCCTTTTATCCTTCTCTTCATCCCTTCTTTCCTTCCACTGGATTGTCACTTCGCATGAGCCTTTGTTGTACCAATGAATGGACAAATAGACAGATATACATAGACACACACATATATAGATAATAATAATAATAATAATAATAATAATAATAATAATAATAATGAACTTTATTTATATCCCACCACCGTCTCCCGAAAAGAACTCGGGGTGGCTTATAAGGCACTCCAAGTGAAGTATATAACATAAATGGTACACAAGTATAAAACAATATGACATAAAAATTAGAAAAACAACCACTGTCAACACAAATAAAAATAAAATAACACAATGCTAGAATGCAGATCATCTGTAGTTAAAACTAGCTGCCATCAGTTCACAACTAAAGTGCCAGAGTGTCAACCTCATATGGGCCCATTGCAGCCTTCTTGTAGCCAAAAGCCTGCTTAAAAACCTATGTTTTTAGGCTGGATCGGAAGGATTCAAGGGTGGGGGGTAACCTAATCTCTTTTGGGAGGGTATTCCAGAGCCTGGAAGCCACCACCGAGAAGGCCCTCTCTCGTCCCCACCAACCATGCTTGAGACATAGGTGGGACAGAGAGAAGGGCCTCTCATCACTTGCCTTTGATGTTCAATCCTCTTTCAGGTTGAAGAACTCCCTGTGGGTGTCCCATCCGATTTCCCTGAGGTAGAAGAGGCTCCGCTGTTCGCCAGGCTGAGTCCCCAGTGGAGCGAAGTGATGCCGGAGGGCGACCAATGTGCTTCTTTGCAGCGTAAGTGGCTGGATGTCTTGGTTTGGTGATTCTGCTTGTGTCCTGTATGTCCACAAGATCCCATGGCTTTTGATTTGACTGCTGTAATCAATGTCCTAGAATTGAAAGAGACCCCAAGGCCCATCCAGTCCAACCCCATTTTGCATTTCAGAAAGACACAAAATACCCCCACAGATGGCAACCAGCTTCTGCTTAAAATCCTCCAGAGAAGTAGATTCTGCCAAACTTCAAGGAGCAGCATATTCCACTGTTGAACGACTCTTACTGTTAGGAAGTCCTTCCTAATGTTTAGGTGGCAACTTCTTTCCCTAACACAGTGTTTCTCAACCTGGGGGGCGGGACCCCTTCCCGCCAGAGTGGTACCTATTGATCTACTCACATTTGCATGTTTTTGAACTGCTAGGTTGGCAGAAGCTGGGGCTAACAGTAGGAGCTCACCCTGCTCTCTGGATTCGAACCAGCGCCCTTTCGGTCAGCAAGTTCAGCAGCTCAGCAGTTTAACCCACTGTGCCAATGGGGTAACCAAAGACCATCAGAAAACATTATTTCTGATGGTCTTAGGAACCACTTTAGCAGAGAAGGCTGAAGATCTCTCTGCCTGTCCATTGTTTTAGGAAACAGACGGTGAATACTCCCACCAAAGCCCTTCTCTGCTGTGATTGGCAGGCCTCTCAGCCAAGGGAGACAAGCAGGGAGGGAAGAGCAGACATACTTGGGGCATGGCAGCATGGCAGCTTAGAGACTAGGACGCGGAACAATGGCTTCAAACTACAAGAGAGGAGATTCCATCTGAACATTAGGAAGAACTTCCTGACTGTGAGAGCCGTTCAGCAGTGGAACTCTCTGCCCCGGAGTGTGGTGGAGGCTCCTTCTTTGGAAGCTTTTAAGCAGAGGCTGGATGGCCATTTGTCAGGGGTGATTTGAATGCAATATTCCTGCTTCTTGGCAGAAGGGGGTTGGACTGGATGGCCCATGAGGTCTCTTCCAACTCTTTGATTCTATGATTCTATGGTGCGCATGTGTGGGCGCAGGAGAAAATCACAAGTCAAACACTTCCCAAGCGTCTAGGACTGTGTGATGTATCGGCAAATAATAATAATAAATAATAATAATAATTTTACTGACACAAAAATACAGTATTTCACAGCAAACGAGATCTATATGCTGGATTTTGTATCACAAAATCACAAGTCAAACACTTCCCAAGCGTCTAGGACTGTGTGATGTATTATTATTATTATTATTATTATTATTATTATTATTATTATTATTATTATTATTAATAGTAGTAGTAGTAGTAGTAGTATTAACTTTATTTTTATCCCACCTTCCTTTACTCTTATCCCACAGATTTAAATACTTTAAGAGTTCCCTGAGCCTGGAATATTATTCCAGTGGTTCCTTTAAAGTAAAAAGATTGAGACAAAGTGCTCTTGAGCAGTGCTGAACAAATTTGTTTTAATATCTAAAAGAGATCCTAAGCTTACTGTTGACAGGTTTTTTGCAACCTCTAACATTGAGCCAAGAGGACTCAGAGTTCAAGAAGCAGTGCTCTAGAGCGGGCCTGGGCAAGCTTGGGACTTCCCTCCAGGTGTTTTGGACTTCAACTTCCACAATTCCTACAGGCTGTTAAGAATTGTGGGAGTTGAAGTCCAAAACACCTGGAGGGCCCAGGCCTGGTGTATCCCATTTAGAACTTGTGAAAATCCACAGAAGTGCTTTACTCTGTGGATTGCTTCTCATTGTTCTCTTATTTCCTTGCATTGACTTCCAGTGCCAAAACTTGAGCCGACTTCTGAAGGGGAGCAGAGCGAAGAGCCGTGGCCTCCAGATCTGAAGGAGTTGGATGAAGTCGAAATCTTGGATATGGAATCAGGGGATTCAGCAGGTAAGACCAATGCCTGCCCCTCCGAAGCCTATTTCGCCCTAGAACAGTGCTTCTCATCCCTGGGAGGGGAGGGGTCGTGAGGGGGTTTGTGAGGGGTCGCCAAAGACAACCAGAAAACATATTGTTTCTGATGGTCTGAGGAACCCCTTTAGCAGAGAAGGCTGAAGATCTCTCCGCCTGTCCTTCTCTCCCTTTTTGGAAGCAGAGGGCAAATCCTCTCACCAAAAGCTCTCCTCTGCTGTGATTGGCCAGCCTCTAAGCCAAGGGGAGGGCTGTTTCTGAGACTCCAAGTGGGGGTGGAGAGAGCAGGCATGCTCAGTTCATGGTAGCGTGGTGCGCATGTACAGGCGAGGGAGAACATACGAGGCTGGAAGAAGGCTCAGGCCAGCAAGTCCCTTCAAGACATGGGGGTTCTGTGTGGGAAGTTTGGCCCAATTCTATCATTGGTGGGGTCCAGAATGCTCTTTGATTGTAGTTGAAGTATAAATCCCAGCAACTATAACTCCCAAATGTCAAGGTCCATTTTCCCCAAACTCCACCAGTGTTTAAATTTGGGAATATTTAGTATTCGTGCTAAGTTTGGTCCAGATCCATCATTGTTTGAGTATATGGTGCTCTCTGGATGTAGGTGAACTACAACTCCCAAACAAGGTCAATGCCAATCAAACCCTTTCAGTGTTTTTTGTTGGTCAGGGGAGTTCTGTGTGCCAAGTTTGGTTCAATCCCCTCGTTGGAGGAGTTCAGAATGCTCTTTGATTGTGGGTAAACTATAAATCCCAGCAACTACAACTCCCAAATATCAAGGTCCATTTTCCCCAAACACCACCAGTGTTCAAATTTGGGAATATTTAGTTTGTTCCAGATCTATCATTGTTTGAGTCAATAGTGCTCTCTGGATGTAGGTGAACTACAACTCCCAAACTCAAGGTCCATGCCAACCAAACCCTTCAAGTATTTCTGTTGGTCATTGAGTTCTGTGTGCCAAGTTTGGTTCAATTCTATCACTGGTGGAGTTCAGAGTGCTCTTTGATTGTAGGTTAACTATAAATCCCAGCAACTATAACTCCCAAATGACAAAATCAATCCCTCCCCCCAACCTAATTTTGCGTATTTTTGCCAAATTTGGTCCAGTGAATGAAAATTCATCCTTGCATATCAGATATTTATGTTATGATACATAACAGTACCAAAATTGCAGTTATGAAGACGCAACAAAAATAATTGTATGATTGGGAGTCACCGCAACATGAGGAACTGTATTAAAGAGTCATGGCATTAGGAAGGTTGAGAAACACTGAGTTAGAAAAAGCCGTACAATGTCTCTTCTATTCCCTCATTGTTCTTTGTTTCAATTAGTCCTTTTCCCACAACCATGATTCCTTGGTTTCATCATTGGGAATTAACCAATTGGGCACCACAATTGAAGAGAGATATTGACAAGCTGGAATGTGTCCAGAGGAGGGCGACTAAAATGATCAAGGGTCTGGAGAACAAGCCCTATGAGGAGCGGGTTAAGGAGCTGGGGATGTTTAGCCTGAAGAAGAGAAGGCTGAGAGGAGACATGATGGGGGCCATGGATAAAGATGTGAGGGGAAGTCATAGGGAGGAGGAAGCAAGCTTGTTTTCTGCTTCCCTGGAGACTGGGATGCGAAACAATGGCTTCAAACTACAAGAAAGGAGATTCCATCTGAACATGAGGAAGAACTTCCTGACTGTGAGAGCCGTTCAGCAGTGGAACTCTCTGCCCCGGAGTGTGGAAGCTTTTAAATAGAGGCTGGATGGCCATCTGTCAGGGGTGATTTGAATGCAATTTTCCTGCTTCTTGGCAGAATGGGGTTGGACTGGATGGCCCATGAGGTCTCTTCCAACTCTATGATTCTATTTCTATGATCTTCTTGTTTTTTCTCTTTCCAGGAGATAATTGGACGAAAGCTAACATATGCGTCACCAGTGGGAAGTATTTTAGACACAAGCTCGTTCTAGCCAAAAATCACACCGAAGAGGAAGATTGTACCAGAGAGAAGCTTTACAGATGCATAGTTTGTGGGAAATGTTTTGCTCAGAAGATAGGACTTGCGCTTCACAAGAGGGACTGTCTTGCACAGAAAGGATGTGATGTCTCTGTGAAACGTTTTGATTGCGCTTCCCAGCATACGAACCATGAAAGCGTTCCTTCAGGAAAGAAGCCACACGGGTGCCAGGAGTGTGGGAGATGGTTTACTTGGAAATCGGATCTCGTGCGGCACAAAAGAATCCACACAGGAGAGAAACCCTACCAATGCCAGGAGTGCGGGAAAGGTTTCTCTTTCAGCTCCTCCCTTGTTATGCACAAGAGGTCCCACACGGGTGAGAAACCGTACCAGTGCCAGAAGTGCCCGAAACGTTTCACTTGCAGTTCAAACCTTCTGAGTCACCAGAGAGTCCACACAGGGAAGAAGCCATACAAATGTCCAGAGTGCAGGAGGAGTTTTGCTCACAACACACAGCTTCTGCGCCACAGGCGTTTTCACACAGGAGAGAAACCCTACAAATGCCAGGAGTGCGGCAAACGTTTCTTTTGCAGCTCGAGTCTCCTGGCACATCAGAGATTCCACACGGGAGAGAAACCATACAAATGCCAAGAGTGTGGGAAATGCTTTACTAAGAATTCTAACTTATTTGTACACCGGAGAGTCCACACCGAGGAGAAGCTACACAAGTGCAAAGTGTGTGGGAAGTGTTTTCTTTTCGGTTCAAGCCTTTTGAGTCACCAAAGATTCCACACGGGGGAGAAGCCGTACAAGTGCCAGGAGTGTTCAAAAAGTTTTTCCAGGAAGTCAACTCTGGTGAACCATCACCGAGTCCACACGGGAGAGTCACCGTACAAGTGCCAGGAATGCGGGAAATGCTTCACTCAAAACTCAGACCTTGTGAAGCACCTGAGAATCCACACCGGAGAGAAGCTACACAAGTGCCAGGAGTGTGGGAAACATTTTGCCCGGAAATCAAGCCTTGGGGTGCACCAAAGAATCCACACCGGAGAGAAACCGTATAAGTGCCAGGAATGTGGTACGTGCTTTACTTGCAGCTCGTCGCTTCTGAGCCACCTGAGACTCCACAGAGGAGAGAAGCCGCACCAATGTCCGCACTGCGGGAGGTGTTTCTCTCGGAAATCAAACCTTGTGAGTCACCAGAGAATCCACACCGGAGAGAAACCGCACAAATGCCAGGAGTGTGGGAAAGGTTTTACTTTCCGGTCTTCTCTTGTTCGTCATCTGCGGCTACACACAGGAATAGTGGGCTTGTAATGTTTGAAATGATAACATGTGTTGCTGTGAGTTTTCTGGGCGGTATGGCCATGTTCCAGAAGCATTCTCTCCTGACATTTCACCCACATCTATGGCAGGCATCCTCAGAGGTTGTGAGGTCTGTTGGAAACTAGGCAAGTGGGGTTTATATATCTGTGGAATAATGTCCAGAGTGGGAAGAAGAACTTTTGTCTGCTTGAGGCAAGTGTAAATGTTGAATTATGCTATTGTTGTTGGTTTTGATGCTTGCTTTATATTTTGTTATAATGTTGTTTTATGTTATTTTAAATTGATGTTATGCATTCAAATGTGTTATGTAACTTTGTTGACTGGGCTTGGCCCCATGTAAGAAAAATAAAGTTGTTGTTATTATTATTATTATTATTATTATTATTATTATTATTATTATTATTATTTGAACCACAACTAGATTACTACACAGCAAACAAGATGACTAAACTGGTTGTTGTATTGGATCACACATCGGACTCTTCCCAAGTGTCTAGAACTGTGTGATGTATTGGCAAATTATGCATGCAAATCCCAGTAGGGTGGCCTTTTGCAGCTGACAGATGGTAATTTTGTCAGCGCCCATTGTGTTTAAGTGCAGGCCAAGGTCTTTAGGCACTGCACCCAATGTGGTGATCACCACTGGGACCACCTTTACTGGCTTGTGCGAGAGTTTTTGCAGTTTGATCTTTAAATCCTCATATCATGTCAGCTTTTCCAGTTGTTTCTCTTCAATCTTGCTGTCACCTGGGATTGTAACATCGACAATCCATAATTGGTTTTTTAACATGATTGTGAGGTTAGGAGTCTTGTGCTCCAAAACTCTGTCAGTCTGAATTTGGAAGTCCCAGAGTAGCTTTATGTGTTCATTTTCTGTAATTTTTTCAGGCTTGTGATCCCACCAGTTGTTTGTCGCAGGCAGATGGTGTTTGTGGCACAAGTTCCAATGAATAATCAGAGCAACGGTGTTGTGCCTCTGCTTGTAGTCTGTCTGCGCGATCTTGCAGCAGCTGAGGATGTGATCTATTGTTTCATCTGCTTCCTTGCAGAGTCTACATTTGGGATCTGTTGTCGACTTTTCAATTCTGGCTTTGATGGCATTGGTTCGAATGGCTTGTTCTTGGGCTGCCAGAATCAGGCCCTCCGTCTCCTTTTTCAGAGTTCCATTTGTGAGCCACAGCCATGTTTTTTCTTTGTCAATTTGGCTCTCAATTTTTCCCAGAAACTGTCCATGGAGTGCCTTCTTTTGCCAGTTTTCTCTTCTGCTCTGGATTGTGTTTTTACGGTATTCACTCTTTGTCTTTTGCACTTTAAGCAGTTTATTACTATTGACTTCCCTCAATGTTGGTTCCTGACCGCCTTTCACATAATCTGCCAGTGCATGTTTCTCTTCTTCTACAGTTTGTGAGGCCAGGAGTATTGTTATTATTATTATTAATGCAATTGGCCACCTTGATTAGCATTGGATGGCCTTGCAGCGCCAAAGCCTGCCTGGGGGAATCCTTTGTTGGGAGGTCTTAGCTGGCCTTGAAATTGCCCACATGCTTGTGGATTTCAATGGCTTCTCTGTGTAGTCTGACATGGTGGTTGTTGGTGTGGTCCAGCATTTCTGTGTTCTCAAACAATATGCTGTGTCCAGGCTGGTTCATCAAGTGCTCTGCTATGGCTGACTTCTCTGGCTGAAGTAGTCTGCAGTGCCTTTCATGTTCCTTGCTTCATGTTTGGTCAGTGCTGCATTTGGTGGTCCCTATGTAGACTTATGCTATTCAAGGAACATGAGAAGGCACGATGCCACTCTAACAACCACCAAGTCATTGACATCCACAAGTAGCATGTGGACAATTACAGCAGAAAGGAGGAAACCATGAAAATGAACAAAATCTGCCTCTAAAATCAGGACAGTAAAGGGTACCATGATCACTGGAGTATATGATGCTTCACTGCTGCAGAAACCAAGAGACACTGTAGCCTGCTCACCAAAGGTGTCCGCCTTTTGCAAGACAATGCACCAGTTCACAACTGTTGCCCAAATGGAAGAAGCAGGCTCCTGTGGCTTTGACATTCTCCCGCATCCTCCTTATCCACCCGACCTTGCACCATCGGACTTCCATCTCTTTCCAACAATAAAGTTATTTTTGAAGGGCAAGCATTTCTCAAACGATGAGACTCTGATTTCCGAAGTCACAACGTGTCTTTTGGAGCAACCTGTCAACTTCTACAAGCGAGATGTTTATAGTTGCTTAAAAAGATGGGAGAAGTGTGTGTCCCGAGGTGGCACCGATGGAGAGAAGGATGGAGAACTGGGCCAAGTTTCATTGTTCTCAGTCCACAGGAAGTGGGTCAGGGGGAATCTTTCATGACCGCCCCTTGCACCTCTTTCTATGTACAATTGTTTGTCGTCTTTGTGTATAAAACGTCATTGAATGTTTGCCACATAAGTATGTTATGTGATCCACCCTGAGTCGCCTTCGGGGTGAGAAGGGCAGAATATAAATACTGTAAATAAATAAATAAGCATGCAAAGGCAAGAATTGTTTAATCAGATTTTTTGGATTGCTGATTATTATTATTTTGGGTTGTTGTAGGTTTTTTTGGGCTATATGCATCTGCTGGCCTGGCAGTGCCTGGGGCAATCTTTTGTTAAGAGGAGATTAGATGTGCCTGATTGTTTCCTCTCTGTTGTTTTGCTGTTGTAATCTCACTTCTGCAGGAGTCTACCGTATACCATGCAGCTGTGGACAAGTCTACATAGGGTCCACCCAACGCAACAGCATTGCCCAAAAACGAATCAAGGAACATGAAAGACACTGCAGACTACTTCAACCAGAGAAGTCAGCCATAGCAGAGCACCTGATGAACCAACCTGGACACAGCATATTATTTGAGAACACAGAAATGCTGGACCACTCTCACAACCACCATGTCAGACTACACAGAGAAGCCATTGAAATCCACAAGCATGTGGACAATTTCAACAGAAAGGAGGAAACCATGAAAATGAACAAAATCTGGCTACCAGTATTTAAAAACCTCTAAAATTACAACAGCAAAACAACAGAGAGGAAACAATCAAGGACATCTAATCACCTCTCAACAAAAGATTGCCCAGGCACTGCCAGGCCATCAAATGCTAATCAAGGTGGTCAGTTGAAACATTCACACCTAGCTCCAGCAGACAAGAGTCCTTTGTCCCACCCTGGTCATTCCACAGATATATAAACGCTTTTTCCTAGTTCCAACAGACCTCACTACCTCTGAGGATGCTTGCCATAGATGCAGGCGAAACGTCAGGAGAAATGCCTCTAGAACATGGCCATATAGCCTGAAAAAACAACTACCCAGTGATTCCGGCCATGAAAGCCTTCGACAATACAATATAAATACTGTAAATAAATAAACAAACATGCAAAAGCAAGAATTGTCCAATCAGATTTTTTGGATTGCTGATTATTAATATATATATTTTTGTTCCTTTATAACCTGCTTTTTATCTCCAAAAAAAGAGACTCAAAGCAGCTTACAGTGAAAACAATACAATTTAAAACGTTCCCAATAATGCAAACATGAAATTTTATATTAATGGCATTCCAAATAAAGTTAAATCCCTTGAAACGGAATAAAAACCTATCCATAGCTAAAACCACAGCACCCCCTAATGGTTCCTTCTGTTATTGCTATGTTACTTTTCTCTTGCTTTTCATTGAGAATAAAACCAAGTGACATTGTAGCTCCCTATGTCACAAGATGTTATTATATTTTTAAAAAGTGACAAAAATGAATTTTTAAAAGGAAATCGGGATTTGGTTTTGCTCACATTTTTAATAAATGTGATAGATCAAACTTGACAAATTTATGCTCATGAAAATTATATATAATTCAGTCAAGTAAATAAAAGTGACTTTCCATCTGTAATGAGTGTCACATATTTTTTCAATTTTTCTGGAAAACATTTCCGTCCCCTTCCCAGAAAAACAATGGGAGAATGTGGATATTGTATTGTACAGTCAATGTTCGTTATGCATTAGGCATAAGGCAGAGAAGAGACTGCAACAGAATACCTTAGAGAACTTACCGTTTAAACTTTTAACCAATAAGCAACGTACCTGTGGTTAGGGGAAACTACCCTAAAATATATAGCAGAGCATCCAAAAACAAACAGGATATCAAAGTTGAACATTCAACTCACAGCTAGCAGAGCGTGAAGTGCCGTGGGATGTGGCTGTAAAGAATTCAGAGCCTAGGAGGCAAAGATGCAGAGACCAATCTTTAAAAAATCACAAAAGGTTTATTTACAATAATAAGAAAGAGCTACATTTCTTCAAGGTAAAGAAGTGGGTCTGAGCTACTCTAACACCCATCTCTTCTAAGTTTCGAGAGAGGGTGAAAAATCATCCGAGCACTACATCTCTCCTGATACACAAGCAGAGAGAGATCTCAAAGCACACAGCACATACTCTCCATACTAAAGCGTAAGAAGGCAGAACTCACAACCAATTAGAATGAGAGTAGAAATAGAGAGGACAGAACAAATAGATACATTCCCAACTACGAGGGTTGAATGAAAAGTAATGCCTCCACCTTCGTTACTTGGGTTTGGATGGGAATATTTTAATAAATCAAACGCAGAAATAATCCTTAGGATGTGCTCTTTAACTACCACTATTAACTTTTCCACATAATCACTAGACAATTGGATACAATTCTCCCAACGATGAACAAGTTTTCTGAAGCTGTCACGGAAGAAGTCGTCACTCATCCTGGGTACCCATCGTGCACAGATCTTCCGATAGCCAAGCATAGCAATAATGTGGCCCACATGTTCTTGTGAAATGCCGATTATGCTTGAAATTTCTCTCTGAGTGATACAACAATCGTCCTGAATCAATCTGTCAACCTTTTGCTTGTGAAAATCGGTCATTGCTGTCAAAGGACGTCCAACTCTTTGTCACCCAAGTCAAATGTTCCCACCTCAACATCTTTAAACTTACTTGCCCAATAACGCACAGTACTCACATCAACACAATCCCCATAAACAGCTTGCATTCTCTGAGGAATCTCCTTTGGGGTGACACCTTCTGCTGTCAAGAATTCAATGATTGCACATTGTTTAAGTCGGATTGACTGACCGTTTGAGCAGGGTTCCATACTTCGCACTTTAACAACACAACCGTTCAATGCTAAGGTTTCCTGCCCAAATGGAACTGTAGAGGAGAGTCTACTGAACAAGCCAGTACCTGCCGCATATCAGTACTGCCATCTGTTGAGGACTTACGAAGGTGGAGGCATTACTTTTCATTCAACCCTGGTATCATTCAGGAGACATGGGGGAAGGGAAACTCTTAGTCTATACTAAACTAACTAAACTGTTCCTCATTAAGTGTGGGGAATGTGGGGTTGAATCCCAACACCTGTATGCTGAATACATGAAGTTTGTAAGTAAACCAACTATGTTATTTTTAACAAAGACTACTTATTTTGTCTCTTGAGAGCATGATTTAAAACCAAATATATTTTATGGGAGAGGAGATATGTTTTTGGGCAACTGAAATAACACTTCTGAAGATCTGCTATATATTTTGTGCATTGGCAGAATCTTTGATCCTAACAGTTCAAAGAGATAACCAAGTTTATCAGTCTAACAACTGAGAAACCTAATTTGCCTTGCATGAATACTAGTGGATATATACCACTAAAGATAAAATTCACTCGAATGGGGTTTAGCTCTTCTCAGAAAGATCATACTTTCCCAAACGGGTTATGATTTTCCAAATGGTGTGAATGCCAGTTTGGTCACATTTCCAAAAGGCTTTGGAGAGTCTGGTTTTCCAAAAGGTTATGATCTCAAAGGTGATCCTTTCCCAAAAAGTTTCAGCTCTATATTTTTCCAGACATAAAGAACCCAGTTGCAAGTTGGCAGACCCCACTGATGGTTTCTCATTTATAGGGACTTCCAGTTGTTTCAAAAGTTGCCCATTTGAAATGAAAACATCTCTCTCACTTCATATGTTCCAGTATTGCATTCAGGGTGGTTTGTTAAAATGGCATTGGTCAAAAATGCACATCCCACACTCAGAGCATAGATAAGATAGATGTACGAGGGTTAACCGGAAAGTAAGGTTACAAGGCACGTAGCTCTCGCAGGGAATTTTCTTGAGGGAAGTTGGTATCACTGTTGTGTAGCAGGAAGCCAGCGGAAGCAAACAAGCAGTGCCAGTCGTCAGAAGCTCATCGACTGTCATTGCGGTGAAGGTTAGAGACGAGTGTCCTCATTCTGTTTTCCTCCAAGTGCAAAGTTTACGCTGTAATACGCTACCTAAATGCTAAGGGCATGAACGCCGCTATGATTCATTGTGAAATCATTTCCATTTATGGAGAGGATGTAATGTCAAGACAGCATGTGACAAAATGGGAACAGATTATATTGTGCGACCATGAAGAAACTTCGCAGGGCCATCCAAAACAAACATCATGGGATGCAGACAATGGGAGTTTGTCTCCTTCATGACAATGAGTGTCTGCACACAGCTCATAACAACAACAACAACAACACTTTATTTATATTTTGCCCTATTTCCTCAAGGGGACTTGGGACGGATCACAGTACACAAATGTGCGGCCACACACAGCTCATAATAATAACAACGACAACACTTGATTTATATTCTGCCCTATTTCCCCAAGGGGACTCAGGACGGATCACAGGACACATACTGCTGTACCACATCCTGATCTCCTGAAACTAGCCTCTACTTCATCAATGAACTCCATATCACAGGACAGTGTGACAAAGGACCTAGCCTCTTGGAGCTAGATAAGAATGTTAATTCAAGGAATCAAACAATAGCTCAGGCCAGGCTTGAGAGCCTAAAGCTATCACCCAGCCATTTGGCAAACACCGGCCATTCTTAATCCAGTCAACTAGTCATTTCTTCAGTTTCCCTTGCCCGCCTCCCTCCCATCTCATTGGCCGAGTGGCCAAAAGCAGGGCCAGGGCCATCATTGGATCTCCTCCTGGCTTGCTGACATCACAGCCAATCATAACAAAGCCAGCTCAGGGAAGGTGGGTATGGGAACTTTTGAATCTGAAGGTTATATATTTTGTATTTCTCTGCCTAGTGGGTTATGTTGATTTGTTGGCAGACTACTGCAATCGTCATCCTTTCCAGATGAAATAAAATAAAATCTCGGTGGCTTTCTCTTCAACTTGGTGAGATTTATTCTGGAATACAGGCAACCCACAATGGTTTGGATCTCTCTATCCACAGCCACTCTAAATTGCTCGACAACAATAGGAAAGGGTAGGAAAGGATGAAGGGAAAAACAGTTGGCAGGGACATGCAAATTCCACACAAGGAACCCTGGGATGCCTGCCAGTGGTGGAGAAAACATGTCAAATCTAGGATGAAATTCTCCTCAAATGAAAGTATTCTTTGGGTAGTGGGCCATAGTGTTTGGGGAAGACATTGGCAGGGTTTGGGCTTCATGTTCATGGTGCTCGCTATAACCTGCAATGTCAGTTGAGGGAGTGCCTTTGGAGGCTTTTCAGCACTTGTGACTAGTGATGGCAAGGAAGCTATACATCCCAGCAACTCCCAAATGTCAAGGTCTGTTTCCCCCAAACCTCTCCAGTATTTTCTGTTGGTTATGGGAGTTCTGCATGACAAGTTTGGTTCAACTGCATTGTTGTTGCGAGTTCAGAATGTGGAGGTGGGTGTCTGTGTAGGTGGGTGCCTCGGCCACATACACATTTTTCACTTTTATTATGTTTACTAGCTGTCCTCTGCCACGCTTTGCTGTGGCCCAGTCTGTATATATGTGTTTTGTGTGTGTATATGTGTGTGTATATATTTGTGTTTGCGTTTATATGTGTGGTTTTGTGCATGCGTTATAATGTAATTTTAGTTTTTTTGTTTTTAAAGTTATTTATTTATTTATTTAAAACATTTATATTCTGCCCTTCTCACCCCGAAGGGGAGTCAGGGTGGAGCACAGCATATATACGGCAAACATTTGATGCCGGGACAAGAATTCATATACGCATACATAAACATTAAAAACATTTATCTCAATATTAAAATTCACCATTTAAAAATGTCTCATCTTGGTCTCTTTTTATGATTGATGGTCACTCGTTGGCCTGATACGTGTATTGTGTCCAAATTTGGTGTCAATTCATCCAGTGGTTTTTGAGTCAATCTCACAAACGAACATTACATTTTTATTTATATAGATTAGCCATCCCCTGCCAGGGGTTGCTGTGGCCCAGTCTGTGTATATGTGTTTTGTGTGTGTGTATATATTTGTGCATATGTGTATATGTGTGTTTGCATATATGTGTGTGTGTGTGTGTGTGGTTTTGCGCATGTGGTGTAATGTCATTTTTGTTTTTTGGCTTTTTAAGTCTCTTCTGCTGTGTTTTTCAGTGTTTTTATGAGTGATGGTCACTTGTTGGCCTGACCGGTGTCTTGTGTCCAAATTTGGTGTCAATTTGTCCAGTGGTTTTTGAGTTATGTTAACCCCACAAACGAAAATTACATTTTTATTTATATAAATAATAATAGATATTCATTCTTTGTATTTAAAAAAAATCTTGGAACCTTACTTTCCAGATAACCCTCTGTAACGAGGGTTAAGGAACGAGGGGTCCCTTATTGCATGTGTGACAGGGGGGAACTTTCCTTTTCAATCCCACCACTGCCACCACTGTAAAGGGGGATTGAAAAGGAAGGTTTCCCCCTGTCACACATGCGATAAGGGACCCCTCGTTCCTTAACCCTCGTACATCATCAGATGTAAGTGGTGACTCAAACTTTATTCACACTGTGGAAGATTACACTCCGTTGTCTCTTACGATGTCACTTGGGAGCAAATTTTTTCCAGAACTTCTGGCACTGGAGTCATTATTTCCCTATGTATTTTCTCATGCCTCATAAGGTGTGATTTGCGAGTGAAACCTTCCCCACACACTTCGCACTTGAACGCTTCTTCTCCGGTATGGCGTCCTTGATGATTCACAAGCTGTGTGCTACAAACAAAACCTTTTCCACACTCTCGGCATTTGTAAGGTTTCTCTCCTGTATGGACTGTCTGGTGATTTCGAAGATGGGAATTCTGAGCAAAACATTTGCCGCACTCCTGGCACTTGTACGGTTTCTCTCCCGTATGGACTCGCTGATGGACAAGAAGGGCTGAGTTTTGGGTGAAACCTTTCCCACACTGCTGACACTTGTATGGTTTCTCTCCCGTATGGAACCGTTGATGCGTCACCAGCTCTGAGCTGTGAGCAAAACATTTGCCACATTCCTGGCATTCGTACGGCTTCTCTCCTGTGTGGATCGTTTTGTGACTGGCGAGGTGGGAATTCTGAGCAAAAGATTTCCCACACACGTGGCATTGGTATGGTTTTTCTCCTGTGTGGGTTCTCTGGTGCACCACGAGGGCTGAATTTTGAGTGAAACCTTTCCCACACTCCTGGCATTTGTACGGTTTTTCTCCCGTGTGGATTCTTTGATGTGTCGTAAGATCTGATGTCTGAGGAAAACACTTTCCGCACTCTGAGCATTTGTAGGGTTTCTCTCCGGTGTGGACTCTCCGGTGTGCTGAAAGATCCGAGGCATGAGCAAAATATTTGCCGCATTCCCGACACTTGTACGGTCTCTCTCCGGTGTGGATTCTCCGATGCACCATCAGGTGTGACCTCTGAGCAAAACGTCTCTCACATTCCGTGCATTGGTACGGCTTCTCTCCCGTGTGGACTCTCTGGTGGATCGTAAGAGTTGAATTCTGAGTAAAGCCTTTCCCGCACTCCTGGCACTTGTACGGTTTCTCTCCGGTGTGGATTCTCTGGTGACTCACCTTCTGGGAACTGGACGCAAAACACTTTCCACACGCCTGGCATTGGTACGGCTTCTCTCCCGTGTGGGTTCTCCGATGCTTTGCGAGATCTGATTTCTGAGCAAAAGATTTGCCACACAACTGACACTGATTGAGCTTCTCTCTTGAGTGAGTTGTCTCATCGTTTGCAATACATTGATCCTGGACCAAATCAACCCAACGTTCCTGTTTTCCTTGGTGTGATTTATCTCCTGTGTTTTTCCGCTCTTTGTCCATCACGGCATGAAATTCATAAGTAACACTTTCCTCAGGCAGTTCACGCGCAAAGGGATCTTTTCCATAGTTGTGTAGCAATTTTGGGGGGGCCAAACCTTCCCCACACACTGCGCATTTATAGGGCTGCTCCTTGGTATCCTTGATGTGGATTCTCTGGCGTGTGGAAGGATCCAATCTCTGCAAGAAACACCTCCAACACATGGCACATATGGTTGCTCCTCTCTGATTGTCTGTTGGGAAGAAAAACAAGCACAAACAAGTCTGAGAAAGAAGTTACATTAAGGAGTAATAGAATTACTATGTCTGAGAGAAAAGAAACACTGGCAGGGCCTAATAATTATTGGTAGCCCCAAGGAGTAAACTCACTGAATCCAGATCATAGAAGCATAGAATCATAGAATCCTTGAGTTGGAAGAGACCTCGTAGGCCGTCCAGTCCAACCCTATCCTGCCAAGAAGCAGGAAAATCACATTCAAAGCACCCCTGACAGATGCCATCCAGCCTCTGTTTAAAAGCCTCCAAAGAAGGAGCCTCCACCACACTCCGGGGCAGAGAGTTCCACTGCTGAAGCTCTCACAGTCAGGAAGTTCTTCCTAATGTTCAGATGGAATCTCCTTTCTTTGTAGTTTGAAGCCATTGTTCCGCGTCCTAGTCTCCAGGGAAGCAGAAAACAAGCTTATTCCCTCCTCCCTGTGGCTTCCTCTCACATATTTATACATGGCTATCATATCTCCTCTCAGCCTTCTCTTCTTCAGGCTAAACATGCCCAGCTCCTTAAGCCGCTCCTCATAGGGCTTGTTCTCCAAGACCCTTGATCATTTTAGTCTCCCTCCTCTGGACACATTCCAGCTTGTCAATATCTCTCTTCAATTGTGGTGCCCAGAATTGGACACAATATTCCAGGTGTGGTCTAACCAAGGCAGAATAGAGGGTAGCATACTTCCCTAGATCTAGACACTATGCTCCTATTGATGCAGGCCAAAATCCCATTGGCTTTTTGAGCCCATCACATTGTTGGCTCATGTTTAACTTGTTGTCCACGAGGACTCCAAGATCTTTTTCACACGTACTGCTCTCAAGCCAGGCATCCCCCATTCTGTATCTTTGCATTTCGTTTTTCCTGGATGGCCATCCAGCCTCTGTTTAAAAGCCTCCAAAGAAGGGGCCTCTACCACACTCCAAGGCAGAGAGTTCCACTGCTGAACGGCTCTCACAGTCAGGAAGTTCAGGACAGCAGAAAACAAGTTTGCTCCCTCCTCCCTATGACTTCCCCTCACATAGTTATACCTGGCCCTCATCATGTCTCCTCTCAGCCTTCTCTTCTGCAGGCTAAACATGCCCAGGTCTTTAAGCCACTCCTCATAGGGTTTGGAGACATTCCAACTTGTCAACATCTCCCTTTTATTGCGGTGCCCAGAACTGGACACAGTGTGATTCCAGATGTGGTCTGACCAAGGCAGAATAGAGGGGTAGCATGACTTCCCTGGATCTAAGCACTGTGTTCCTATTTATGTAGGCCACAATCCCATTGGCTTTTTTTTTTGCCGCCCCATGTTTAACTTGTTGTCCATGAGGACTCCAAGATCTTTTTCACACGTGCTGCTGTTGACCCAGGCATCGTCCCCTATTCTGTATCTTTGCATTTCATTAAGTAGTTATGGAAGTACCATGCTGGAAAGAAAAGAAACACTGGCAAGGTTTGAAAAATTATTCCTAGCCCCAAGGAGTAAACTCATTGAAGTATGGAACCCTGCGCAGACGGTCGGTCAATGCGACTTAAGCAATGTGTAGTCATTGAATTCTTGACAGCAGAAGGTGTCACCCCAAAGGAGATTCATCAGAGAATGCAAGCTGTTTATGGTTGTGTTGATGTGAGTACAAACACGCTTGGTGGGGACGAGGGACAGGGCCTTCTCGGTTACAAAGGTGGAGGCATTACTTTTCATTCAACCCTTGAACTATCTGAATATAACTCAGCCATATGTGATTTGAGGCTGCATCAATAGAAGCATAGTGTCTGAGTCATAGACTCATGATAAATCAATTCAGAACATGGCGCATTGACTGGGGAAGGTCATGTCCTGAGTCTCAGTAGGAAGGACAATGGATTTCCTTACCGAGAGAGGACACCATCCCGTAGATTTCCATCATAACCTCTTCATACAAAGATCTCTGGTCCGGATTCAGCAGGTCCCATTCTTCTTGTGTGAAATATATAACCATGCCACCAAAGTCCACCGGTTCCTGAAAGAAGAAAAATAGATACGTCCAGGAAGATAACACAAACGCGGAAGGGAAAAAAAAACACATAACCACATCTATATAAATAAAAATGTAATTACAACAGCACAACAACAGAGAGGAAACAAACAAGGACATCTAATCCCCTCTCAACAAAAGTTTGCTCTAGGCACTGTCAGGCCATTATATGCTAATCAAGGTGGTCAGTTGAAACATTCACACTTAGCTCCAACAGACAAGAGTCCTTTGTCTCACCCTGGTCATTCCACAGATAGATAAACCCATTTTCCTAGTTCCAACAGATCTCACTACCTCTGAGGATGCTTACCATAGATGCAGGCGAAACGTCAGGAGAGAATGCCTCCAGACCATGGCCATATAGCCTGAAAAAACCTACAACAACCCAGTGTTTCCGGCCATGAAAGCCTTCGACAATTCATTAAAAATGTAATGTTCTTTTGTGGGATTCACAGGTTTTAAATCTTTGTGTTTACTGTTTATTGGTTATTGTTTATATGTGGTTTATATTAATTGTATTGTATTTATTGTTTTTGTTTATTGCTTTTGTTTCTATTGGTGTGTTGTTGGGCTTGGCGTCATGTAAGCCGGGCGGGGAGTCCCTTGGGGAGATGGTGGCGGGGTATAAATAAAGTATTATTATTATTATTATTATTATTATTATTATAGAGCTCCCGGTGGCGCAGTGGGTTAAACCCCTGTGTCGGCAGGACGGAAGACCGACAGGTTGCAGGTTCGAATCCGGAGAGAGGCGGATGAGCTCCCTCTGTCAGCTCCAGCTCCTCATGCGGGGACATGAGAGAAGCCTCCCACAAGGATGATAAAAACATCAAATCATCCGGGCGTCCCCTGGGCAACGTCCTTGCAGATGGCCAATTCTCTCACACCAGAAGTGACTTGCAGATTCTCAAGTCTCTCCTGATATGACAAAAAATATAATAATAATAATAATAATAATAATAATAATAATGATAATAATAATAATTATTATTAACATTACTCAAAAACCACTTGGCGAATTGACACCAAATTTGGACACAAGACACCAATCAGGCCAATGAGTGACCATCACTCAAAAACATGATTTTGTCATTTGGGAGATGTAGTTGCTGGATTTATAGTTCACCTACAATCAAAGAGCATTCTGAACTCCACCAATGATGGAATTGAACCGAATATCTCATAGAGTCTCCATCATAGAATCATAGAATCAAAGAGTTGGAAGAGACCTCATGGGCCATCCAGTCCAACCCCCTGCCAAGAAGCAGGAATATTGCATTCAAATCACCCCTGACAGATGGCCATCCAGCTCTGTTTAAAAGCTTCCAAAGAAGGAGCCTCCACTACACTCCGGGGCAGAGAGTTCCACTGCTGAACGGCTCTCACAGTCAGGTAATTCTTCCTCATGTTCAGATGGACATGTAGTCCATCTCTTGTGGCACACAGAACTCCCATGTCCAACAGAAAACACTAGAAGGGTTTGGTGGGCATTGACCTTGAGTTTGGGAGTTGTAGTTCACCTACATCCAGAGAGCACTGTGGACTCAAACAATGATGGATCTGGACCAAACTTGGCACAAATATTCCATATGCCCAAATATGCACACAGATGGAGCTTGGGGAGAATAGACACTGGCATTTGGGAGTTGTAGTTACTGGGATTTCTAGTTCACCTACAATCAGAGAGCACTGTGGATTCAAACAATGATGGATCTGGACCAAACTTGGCACGAATATTCCATATGTCCAAATATGAACACAGATGGAGTTTGGGGGAAATAGACACTGACATTAGGGAGTTGTAGCTACTGGGATTTATAGTTCACCTACAATCAAAGAGCATTCTGAACCCCACCAACAACAGAATTGGGGCAAACTTCCCACACAGAACTCCCATGACCAACAGAAAATACTTAAGGCCATCCAGTCCAACTCTTTTTCACCAGGGCAAGAAAACATAATCAAAGCCCTCCTCACAAAGAGCCATCCAGCCATTGATATAGATAGATAGAGATAGATAGATAGATAGATAGATAGATAGATAGATAGATAGATAGATAGATAGATCCCTGAAAGGCCATCCAGCCCAACTTGGAGGAGGACACCATCAAAGCACCCCCAACAGATGGCCATCCAGGTTCTGCTTACAAACCATAATGATAATAATAGTAAGGCACCTTCCATGCAAGTCAAGAAAGCCACACTCACCTGGTCTCCTTGTGGTTTCCATCCTTGCCTATTTGCAGCAGCTCTGCCTTGTTCCTGCATCCTATCCCATTCCTTTTCTCCCTCAATTAGCCCCATCTGACTTCCTATCACGTGACTGAAGCCCTGCCAGGCTCCAGGCAAGGCAGCCCCTTCCTTCTTCCCCTTGCCACCCAATCCTCTTGGAGACACGTGTCTGCGCGTTCAGACGTGCGCCTCCCACTCTCCGCCTCCCTGCAACCCTTGCTTTGGGGGGAAAAAAGGAAGAGCATTTATTTGCCCGGGTGAGCATTTATTTACATAGGTGGGAGGAAGTCAGGTGGGTGCGTCTGCACTGCGGAGTTAACGCGCTTTAAAACCGCTTTTGTTCTGTGCTACCAGAATCCTGGGTGTTGTAGATTGGTGAGGCACCAGCACTCCTTAACAGGGAAGGCTACAGACCTTGCAAACTCTCCTGATTATATTATATAGCAAGGAGTCAAGTGAGTGCGTCTGCACTCGGAGTTAACGCGCTTTAAAACCGCCTTTGCTGGGTATTGCCAGATTCCTGGGAGTTTTATATTGGTGAGGCACCAGCACTCCTTAACAGACCTTGCAAACTCCCTATATATATATATATATATATATATAATGAGAGAGCCATGGCATGTTTAAAGTGGGATCAAACTGTGTTAATTTTCCAGTGTGGACGCACCCAAACCTATGGAAATTCTTTCTCTCTCTCATGCAGGATTCCCACTCATTGAGCCTCCTACATATGTGTGTGTATATATGTATATTTAGCAATGAGCCATGGCATGTTTAAAGTGGAATCAAACTGCGTTAATTCTCCAGTGTGGATGCACCCAAACCTATGGAAATTCTTTCTCTCTCGCATACAGGATTCCCACTCATTGAGCCTTCCATATATGTGTGTGTATATATGTATATATAGCAATGAGCCATGGCATGTTTAAAGTGGGATCAAACTGTGTTAATTCTCCAGTGTGGATGCACCCAAACCTATGGAATTTCTTTCTCTCTCTCATACAGGATTCCCACTCATTGAGCCTCCCACATATGTGTGTGTGTATATGTATATATAGCAATGAGCCATGGCATGTTTAAAGTGGGATCAAACTGTGTTAATTCTCCAGTGTGGATGCACCCAAACCTATGGAATTTCTTTCTCTCTCTCATACAGGATTCCCACTCATTGAGCCTCCCACATATGTGTGTGTGTATATGTATATATAGCAATGAGCCATGGCATGTTTAAAGTGGGATCAAACTGTGTTAATTCTCCAATGTGGATGCACCCAAACCTATGGAATTCCTTTCTCTCTCTCATGCAGGATTCCCACTCATTGAGCCTCCCACATATGTGTGTGTGTATATATATATATGCATGCCATGGCATGTTTAAAGTGGGATCAAACTGTGTTAATTCTCCAATGTGGATGCACCCAAACCTATGGAATTCCTTTCTCTCTCTCATGCAGGATTCCCACTCATTGAGCCTCCCACATATGTGTGTGTGTATATATATATATGCATGCCATGGCATGTTTAAAGTGGGATCAAACTGTGTTAATTCTCCAATGTGGATGCACCCAAACCTATGGAATTCCTTTCTCTCTCTCATGCAGGATTCCCACTCATTGAGCCTCCCACATATGTGTGTGTGTATATGTATATATAGCAATGAGCCATGGCATGTTTAAAGTGGGATCAAACTGTGTTAATTCTCCAATGTGGATGCACCCAAACCTATGGAATTCCTTTCTCTCTCTCATGCAGGATTCCCACTCATTGAGCCTCCCTTATATCTTCAACAAGGCCTATGATTTCCACATTGGACGCTTTGGGAGAAAAATGGAAATTGCCTCCCAAGACAATGAAGGTAAAGGTGTCAAAAGTGCATCAGTCATGGCAGATCAAGTGGTGCCAAACTGCATTTATTCTCCAGTGTAGATGCACCCCCAGGGCTTGTGGGTGTCTTCTATTTCTTCTTGTGGGCCCGGAGGCCCTACTTTCCGCCTTAACCCTGTGTGTTGTCTTCCTCCTTCTTCCTTGGCCAGACTTTCCTGATGTGATCATCAAACTGGAACCAGAAGAGGAGCCCTGCCGCCAGCGTCCACATGGGCCTGGGACCTTGCCCGGAACCAGTTCAGGTGAAGGATGGGTGGCAAAAGCTCTTCTGTCCCTTGTTGGGCAGCATCCACTTATTTCCCCCTTCCTTCCTCTTGTCATTTTGCAGAGGTGGCCCTGTCAACATGCCGTGCTTCATTTCTTGCACTATCACCAGGGTCAGGCCAAACACACTTCGTGTGAGGACTCAGTCTCATTATGCTATGGTCACAACTGCATTTTATACTAGTGTATACACCCAGCATTTCCTGGGTGTCAGAAGGGCTACAGCAACACTCTGACAACTCTCCTTATGCGGCCTTTCTTTTCTTTCTCTGTTATCCTCATGCATCTTCTCCATCCCCTTCCTTCTCTCCTGCCTTCCCTCCCCTTATGCACCTTACCCTCCTCCTTTATTTCTTTCTCTTCTCTTTCTTTCTGTGCTTCCCCTCATACTTTCCCCCTTCCTTTCTCTCCCTTCCTTCCCTCCCTCTCTCCATCCTTTCTTTTCTCTTCTTTCTCCTTTCTTTCCTTTCCCTCATACCTTCCCCTTTCATTTCTCTCTTTCTCTCTTCTCTTCTCTTTCTCTTTTTTTGCTTCCCCTCATATCTTCCCCTTTCCTTTCTCTCCTTCCTTCTTCTTCTTTTCTTCTTTCTCTTTCTTTTTTTGCTTCCCTCCTTCTTCCCCTTCCTTCCTTTCTCTTCTCTTCTCTTCTCTTCTCTTCTCTTCTCTTCTTTCTCCTTCTTTCTTTCCTTTCCCTCATACCTTCCCCCTTCCTTCCTTCCTTCCTTCCTTCCTTCCTTCCTTCCTTCCTTCCTTTCTCTTCTCTTCTCTTCTCTTCTCTTCTCTCTTTCTTTCTCTTCTTTCTTTCTCTTCTTTCTCCTTTTCTTTTCTTTCCCTCATACCCCCCTCTTTCTTCTCTCTTTCCTTTCTTCTCTTCTTTCTCCTTTCTTTGCTTTCTCTCATACTTTTCCCTTTCCTTTCCTCTCTTCTTCTCTTCTTTCTCTTTCTTTTTTTTTCCCTCTTCTTCCCTTTTCCTTCCTTTCTCTTCCTTCTTTCTCCTCTTCTCCTCCCCCTTCCTTCCTTCCTTCCTTCCTTCCTTCCTTCCTTCCTTCCTTCCTTCCTTCCTTCCTTCCTCTTCTCTTCTTTTTCTTCCTTTGCTTTCCTTCATACTTTCCCCTTCTCTATTCTCTCCTTCCTTCTTCTTCTCTTCTCTTCTTTCTCCTTTTTTTCTTTCCCTCATCTCTTCCTCTTTCCTTTCTCTCCTTCTTCTTTTCTCTTCTTTCTCTTTCTTTTTTTGCTTCTCTTTAACCTTCCTTCTTTCCTTCCTTCCTTTCTCTTCTCTTCTCTTCTTTCTCCTTTCTTTGCTTCCCCTCATACCTTCCTGTTTCCTTTCTCTTCCTTCCTTCTTTCTCCTGACCTCACAACCTCTGACAATACCTGCCATAGATGCAGGCGAAATGTCAGGAGAGAATGCTTCTGGAACATGACAATACAGCCCGGAAAACTCACAGCAACCCAGTAACATTTTTATTGAGTTTTTTCGCTTGTGCCCCCCAACCCTTGCAAATGTGGAAGGGTGACTCCATTCAAAAGCTGATTGCACTTGTTGATCTTTTACTCCTGCCTCTTTCTGTCAATTTAGGATTTTCCGATGCCGTAATAAAGGAAGAGGATGAAGAAGAGTTGTGTGTCCTCGACCAGGAGGGATCGGAGGAAAGTGGACATCTTGCTGATGAGCAGTCAGGTGAGACAATTTTGTAATCAGATGCTTCATATAGGGTATCTTTTAGACTGAAGGTATGATGTCTCCTCAACCATGGATAGATTTACTTTACTATGTATTTTATAGAAATACATTTTAATACGTATTTTTAATAGAAATATAAAATGTATATAATATGTACCTTTTATAGCCCCCGGTGGCATGGTCGGTTGAACTGCTGAGCTGCTGAACTTGCTGACCGAAAGGTTGCAGGTTCGAATCTGGGGAGCGGGGTGAGCTCCCGTTGTTAGCCCCAGCTTCTGCTAACCTAGCAGTTCGAAAACATGCCAATGTGAGTAGATCAGTAGGTACTGCTCTGGCGGGAAGGTAACAGTGCTGAACTGCAGAACTTGTTAACCAAAAAGTTGCAGGTTCAAATCTGGAGAGCCGGGTGAGCTCTCATTGTTAGCCCCAGCTTCTGCAACCTAGCAGTTGGAAAACATGCCAGTGTGAGTAGCTCAATAGGTACTTCTCCGGCGGGAAAGTAACAGTGCTGCGCTGCAGAACTTGCTAACCGAAAGGTTGCAGGTTCAAATCTGGGGAGCAAGATGAGCTCCCGTTGTTAGCCCCAGCTTCTGCCAACCTAGCAGTTCGAAACATGCCAATGTGAGTAGATCAATAGGTACTGCTCCGGTGGGAAGGTAACAGCGCTGAGCTGCAGAACTTGCTAACTGAAAGGTTGCAGGTTTGAATCTGGGGAGTGGGGTGAGCTCCTGTTGTTAGCCCCAGCTTTTGCCAACCTAGCAGTTCGAAAACATGTCAATGTGAGTAGATCAATAGACAGGAAGGTAATGGCACTCCATGCAGTCATGCCGGCCACATGACCTTGGAGGTGTCTATGGATAATGCTGGTTCTTCAGCTTAGAAATGGAGATGAGCACCAACCCCCAGAGTCGGACACGACTGGATTTAATGTCAGGGGAAAAACTTTACCAACAGAGAGGAAACAAACAAGGGCTTCTAATTACTTCTCAACAAAAGATTGCTCCAGGCACTGCCAGGCAATCAAATACTAATCAAGGTGATCAGCTGAAACATTCACACCTAGCTCCAACAGACAAGAGTCCTTTGTCTCACCCTGGTCATTCCACAGATATATAAACCCATTTTCCTAGTTCCAACAGATCTCACTACCTCTGAGGATGCTTGCCATAGATGCAGGTGAAACGTCAGGAGAAAATGCCTTTAGGACATGGCCATATAGCCCGAAAAAACCTACAACAACCCAGAAAACCTTTACCTTTTACCTGATTATTTATGTGGGTTCTCTGGAAAGAAAGGTTTCAAGATTTTTTTAAAAAATACAA